TATATATATATATATATATATATAGGAGTGATCATATGAAAACCGCCCTCATTTGTGTAAACCGTGCAAACCACTTTCATCTGTCGATTTCATTGTTTAATCTTATGAAATTTTTTCATGAAATTGTTTAATCTTATGAAATTGTTTCATATAATACTTTTTTTGATGAAGTTGTTTCATATATGGTTGTGAAATTGTTTCGTATAATACTTAATGAAACTGTTTCATGTATTTCTCTAGCATTAATGAAACTGTTTCATGTATTTCTCTAAAATTAAAATAATGAAGATGATAATATCTATGATTAACACCCTCCACAATAAAAATGATTAATCAACCACTCATAATTACCTAAAAATGAACAAAATGAAAAATTATGATTGGTTGAATGCGGTTTGCACGGTTTGTACAAATTGAGTGGTTTGCATTTGATCGCTCCCCTATATATATATATATATATATATATATATATACACTAGTGGTGTACCCGCGCGATGCAGCGCGGGTGAATCACAATTCTGAAATATTAGTTTAGCCTTGAATCATGAGTTTTTGTCGTTATTTTGCAAGTTAAATGATATATAAAGTTGATGGTTAATATGGTGTATTAGCAAGATCAAATGGAAAAATAATTGCACACGTAATGGGTTTCTAAACCCATATACTCAGAACTTATTCCAAAACTTAAAATTCTTGATTGAACAAAGAAATACAATTATTTGTAAATAATGTTCATCCGTATATCCAAACTATTGTTTAATTTTCGTGATGCACTCATCCGTAAATATTTTCTACAAAAAACGGCGCAATGATTTTAATAGAAATATATGGTACCAAATGTGTAATAATATAATTGTTGATTATAGACGATGTTTGAGGTGTAGACTCCGACACGATTGAATATTTTCACAGGCTTTACTAACACCTTCGTATTGCCCCGTGATATCCCTTTGGAGAATGCCACGTAAAGTTGCTCGTGTGAGAATACTGATTCCGATAGATAAACACCTACATTAGGTGAGCAAGGTGTTAATATTTATTGTGATGAAAAGTCTCTAGACGCGTAGTGAGTTGACAAAGCGATGGAGTGACTTTAATCAAGTTTGAATCCTACAATAGACAGGCTTAAGCCTTCCGCTAGTCTCGGCTGCCAAGTCAACTTTGAAAAATCTCCTCACATATGGAAAATATCTAGTAGCATTCAAGGACTTCGGTTGGTCATCAGAATGAGAAGGATTTTATCACATACTGGTCAAACGTTGACAATTGCTCACCCTCAGATAGTAAATCAGACAAATCATAGACTTATTTTTTTCAAAAAAAATTAACGGGTTGATAACTTAGACCATCTTTTCATAATCACTTTTTTGTTATTATATTTGATATTTTTTGAAAAATACAAGAACTTGTCAAAATTTTAGTATCGCTAAATC